CAACATGAATTTTAGGCCTTCTTCAGATTTTTTTTATCCTTTTTTGTATTTGTTCTTCTATCTTAGTAGTGTTGAGAGATTTATCTTCTAGCTTACTAGTTCTAGCTTCTATCTCTTCAATTCTATTCCTTTGCCCTTTCAATGTCTTGTCCATTTCTGATATTCTATTAATTGTTTGGACCGCTTTCTGTAGGTTTTGAATTGTTTCCAATGCTGTATCTATCTTACTTGATTGTTCCTGTAGCACTTTTTGACTTCTTCCTTATTTTTCTCAACTGCATTGTATAGTGTTTTGATACCTTTTATAATCATTTTTAGGAATTCCTTCTCAGGCATTTCCAAAGCCTGCCCATCTTCTAGTATGTAGTGTAGGTCTCCTTCCAGCTCATTTGCCTCAGTCACTTTATCTCGTTTCTGGACATGTGCAGATATGGTCATAGGGTTTTCAAGGAACAACTGGTGGGTTTGAACTATTGACCTTGTAGTTTATAGTCCTACAGTGCCACACCAGGAGTACGCCTTCCTCTGTAGACTTAGCAAAATAGTTAAATTATGCACGAATAAAATGTAAATACTTACCAGATCACCCTAGAGACCTGTGCTAGCTTATTTACTCCACAGATACTTTTAAAGGTCCCTTCTATATAGCAAAAGAGTTCTGTTAGTGTAGAGGTTACGAATTGAGCTGTGAACCTTAAGTTTAACAGTTTGAAACTGCTAGCTGTTTTTGGGGGAAAAAGATGAGGCTTTCTGCTCATGTAAAGATTTATAGCCTTGGAAACCCTGTACCAGGGTCACTATGAGTCAGAACCGACTTCACGGCACAATAACTATATAGCAGGAGTCCTGGTGTGGTGCTGTAGGATAAAGCACTGGACCACAAGGTCGGTTTGAACCACAAGGTCAGCAGTTCAGACCCATCAGCCACACTTTGGAAACACTGCACAGGATCACTATGAGTTGGAAGTGATTCAATGGCACTTAACAACAACAATTATGTAGTAGGTACTCTTAAAGATGTTGGGTATACAGAATGAGTAAAACATTAACATATGTGCCCTCCTAAAATTTCTCTTTTAATGGATATGGAGTAAGGCACACTAATAAAGAGAATAAAGAAATAAAGTTTTTTAATAGGGTAATATAATGTCTTAATGGTGGTAAGTGCTGTGGGGAAAACAAAAGCAGAAACAATAATTATGGGATGGAGCATGACATATTTAAATGGAGAAGCCAGGGAAGGTCTCACTGAGAACTCATTTGTTTTAATCCTGGAAAAGGTGAGAGGAGCAAGACATGCCAATCTCTCATAATATTGCTATATTATGTTGAATTATTATTCCTAATATTGGGTTGAGAAGAAAAGAATGTGTGTTGACATTTTCTGAACTACATCCTAGAAAAGTTTTTCTCTAACACTTTATATTTTATAAGGTCTCAAAATTGGTATTGTTATTATTGTATTATTTGGTGCCATCCCAGGCTGTGAACTGAACAGAATTGGAGTAAATTCTTTGGTGTATTACATAGCTACTTTCATAAAAGCCGATTTACTTTGGGGATAGGGGAAGTGGGTGGACAAGCCCAAATGAAGAAAGAACAAGCTATATATTATTATTTTAATTTCTTTTCCGCATTTTCACCTGGGAATTAAATAAAGATGTGCTGTCATTCAGTGCTTTGAACCACTTTTGTTTGTTTTAGTTTTCCTTTGTTTTAGTTCCATTTTAGCCTGTCTGCTATGTGCAAGACATTTAGCCTTTTTTAAAGTCTTATATTTCTGTCCCTTGTTTTAATAGCTGTCTGGTATGTGCAAGAAGTTTAGAAAAGGAAATTAGCCTTTATGTTCTTTTTTTCTTAGTTAGGGGTGAAGAGAATGGGATCGATTGCAATCAAGGGGACAAGCCTTCAGATCGTGGCAAACGAACTCGTGGTAGTAGAGGTAAGTACAGAGTAAGGGGAAAGTAAATGCTTTTGATCTGAGGGAAAAGCAGGCTTTACTGGGCTCTGAGTACAAAGGCAGTTTCTTTTGATAGAATGGCTAATCTTGTGAAATCTTTTGATTCATTTACTGATGCCTATGAATGAGCTGTTGGGATTTAGTAGTTTTGAGGAAACCTATTGGTGATTTTCAGATGAGTGGAGAAAGTCCTTTATATCAATAATTTAAAGCTTGAAGCTCTGTGACTAAAAGTCACTATTAAATATACGTATATTGGGCTTTGACAGATGTGTTTTACCCCTATGTGATACTGGTTTTAAAATTGAAATGATTGGTTTCCTATTTCATTTTAAAGTGTTCTCTGGTAGAGATCATTTCTTACAGTTATCAATTCAGATGTCATTAAGTCACTTTAAGAATGTAGTTTCAGATATGAAGTTGTGAATAAATTTTCTTAGGGTTATAAAATCAAGATATGTAATGTAATATGCAGACTTCATTTAAGTATATTGGTAGTGCATCCTGAACTGACCTCCGTTTTGCTTGATGTATTGTTCAAGAGAAGTTGGGGCTGTTCTCCAAATGAGCATTTCATAGTGGCACCCTTTTTTTTTAAAATCAGAAATATTAGAGTAGAAATAATGTAGGTAATACATATACTACCAGTGCCCTTTGTTGTTCATTCATTCAACTGTTATTTTAAACTACTCTGTGGGCCAGAGTTAAATGATTTCCAGAGATCAGAAAAAGTGAAGATTATGTATTATTAATTTTCAAGGCACAATCAAAATAAGTTTGGCATTGTTCAACATATTAACTATAATTTCTATTTCTAGCCTTGGAAAAAAAAAGATCATTTTCAAACATTTGTAAGAATCGAGAAAGTAGCTAAAAGAGCTTTTATATACCCTTACATATTCAACAACCTTTAAGATTCTTGTCACATTTTCTCTGTTCCTTCCCTTTCCCTTTTCTCATTCCTCTAGAAGTATTTTGAGGACAATTTTTGGCACATTTTACGCCTAATTTAGTAAGCACCTCTGAAAAATTTGCATACTTTTATACATGACCATAATGCTATTGCTGTTAAGTGCCTTTGAATTGGTTCCGGCTCATAGTGACTGTTTAGGGTTTCTGAGGTATAACTGATGGGTTTGAACTACTGACTTTTAGGTTAGCAGTCCAGTACTTATCTTATGTGCCACATTAGAACTCTATAATCACATTATCACATCTATTCCAGACAGCATTGTACCTCCTGTGACACCATTCAATTTCAATTTGTCATTCCCAGCATTGTTTTGAAACATTTTGTAATCATTTTTCTGAATTCCTTCTTAGACATTTCCAAGGCCTGCCCTCCTTCCAGAATGGAGTCCAGGTCTACCTCTAGGTCACTTGTCTCAGACGTTTTATCTTGTTTCTGGACATGTGCTGATATGGTCATCTGCTTTTGCTTCTTGGACATGTTTAATGTTTATCTGTGGCCTTAATACTTGAGTATGTGTTTTGGTATTTTTTTTATGCTTTCTGATTGCTTCCCGGAAGATGTGATCAAGATGTGGGCTTCTCTTTTTATTCTTCTTATTGCTTAACTCAGAGTAACTTTCAAAGGTGTTGTCTGTTTCCCTGATATATGGCAGTTGGATATATGCCTGGGTTTTGGTGTTTTATAGAGTGTGATTGTAGTTTGACTATATGGTAGCAGTTGCTGACTCATCTTGGGAAATATAGGGAGAGAAAGAGTTCCCCAAAGGTAGAAGGGGGAGCATAAAACAGCAAAACGGCACCAACAAAAAAAAACAAATAAGAAAAAAAACACACACACACAAAAAAAATCCCAAAAACAGCAACAACAAAGTAGACTGAATACTGCACTCTATAATCACAGAAAAGGGGGAGGAGGGAGGGAAGGAAAAAAAAAAAAAATCTGTAGCCTAAAATGGGTATGACTTTAATGTCCTCTCTTCAGCTTCTTGCTTTCAACGCTGCCTGAGAGATTTCAAGATGCTACTGTTCGTTGTTATGCTATACCTCAGACTTTAATTTTCGGTCTGTTTTGTTTTCAAACTCTCTTTCACTCTCTACAGCCATGTCCTGCCCTATTCCGTATTTAAAAAAAACACAAAAAAATGTTCAGGGCCTGCTCTTGGGCTGAGTATCTGTGCGCATGCGTGACAGAAGAACCCACCAGTAGTGAGGGTGGGGGGTGTCCACTCGCTTAGGCTCTCCGTCTAGCCACCAGAATGGAGGTACACAGTCAGTGGGGGTGCTAATGACCAGATACAAAAAAAAAAAAGAAAATCAGAACAAAGCAAAATTGACAAAGTGTAATGTTCACCTTTGCTCCATTTTTCCATGGTGTTTCTGTTCCCTCGCTTGGTCTCGCCCAAGATGTCAGCTACGGGCCTCCAAGCCCAGCAGGTTAAAAAATATACGATTTCTTCCTTTAGCTTCAAGTTCCAGTAGGTGAAAGCCTTCAGACTTAAAAAACATTCCTAGCTCTGTGATTCCGAGTTTTATAGCTCTGCCCTGGATCTGCTTTGCCAGGTATTCTGTGGTATGGCTGATGGTGAACTTCACTGTACCACCATCCTCATTCCCAGCATTCTAAAACATGTAATTGTCAGATTCAATATGGCCAATACATTTCAGCTCATTAATGTCTAGGATATCAATGTTTATACATTCCATTTTTTTTTATTTTACAGTTTCCAATTTTCCTAGTTTCATACTTCTTATATTCCACATTCTGATTATTAATGGTTGTTTACAGATGTTTCTCTTTATTGTGAGTTGTGTCCTATCAGCAAAGGACGGACCCAAAGGCTTTTCCTTCATTCATGACATCACGGTCAATTTTACTTCATATGATTCAGATTCCTGGATTATGTGCTCAGCATACACATTGAATAAGTATGGTGAAAGAATAAAATCCTGGTGCTCACCTTTCCTAATTTTAAACCATTTGGTGCTCCCTTGTTCTTTTCAAGCAACAGCCTCTTGGTCTACCTACAGGTTTTGCATGAGCACTAGTTATTGTTCCAGAATACTTAGTGTCCGCAATGTTGTCCGTAGCTTGGCATCCACACAATCAAAAGTCTTTGAGTAGTCAATAAAGCACAAGTATACATCTTTCTGATATTCTCTGTTTTCAGCCAACATCAGTCTGATGTCAGTAATGATATCTCTTGTTCCTTGTCCTCTTCTGAATCTGGCTTGAGCTTCTGGAAGTTCCCTTTCAGTATATGGTTTATTTTGCAGCCATTTTTGTATTTAGCAGAATTTACTTGCATGCGATATTAATGATATTGTCCTATGATTTCCACATTCCGTTTGGTCACCTCTTTTGGAAATGGGCACAAAAAAATGTGAATCTATTCTAGTCAGTTGGTCAGATAGGTGTTTTTCAGATTTCTTGACATAGATGGTTGAGTGCCTCCAATGTGCGTCATTTTGTTGGTAGATTTCAGTTTGTATTCTATCAGTTCCCAGTGCCATGGACTTCTCCCTTCAGGATCATTGGCTCTTGATCATATGCTACCTCTTCAAATGGTTGGACATTGACCATTTCTTTTTTAGTACAATGACTCTGTGTATTCCTTCCATCTTCTTTATTATTTTTTTTAAAAAAGCTTTTATTGTGGAGTGATTGTTTATATGGGAGAACATAGGTTTTGTACTCATCCTGGTATCTTTTGTTTCATTGCAATAATTATAGCCCCCTCCATGCATCATCATTTAAACAACCAAAGGGCACATTCTGCAAGCCAGCCTCCTGGCGACCAGCATGTAACCTTTCTCTTTCCAATGAGTCTGGAGTCCTCAACTGCTCTATCTCTGCATGCCATAACCTCTGCCTCCATCTCTGGTGTTGCTGCTTCTCTGGTTAGTGTACCAAGTTCTGCTCATGCTCTTCTATTTTGATAGTCTAGAGTCCTCTGTTCCTGGAGTAGAAGATTAAATACTCCCCCATTTTTGTTACAAAACTTCTAACTTTACAGTTAATGAAAATTGCAATTAATCATGATTATAATTACTTACTATTGAATCAAAAGAATCCTATCCCCATCTCCTTTCACCAGACCTGTCTAGACAAGATAAAAACTATTCAGTGGGGATTCTACCTTCCCCACACACTCTGAAACTAAACTCCCTCTTGAAAACTTAAAAACTAGTCACTTCCTGCCTTTATAGCACCCCCATTTTAGGTAGCCAATTGTCTAAGTTGCCCATCCCTATCAATCCTGAATACTAAAAGGATAGGCTTGATGCTTGATATGAAGACTCCTTCCCTCTCATTTGGTTTTTTGATCTACTACATCCATAAGTATAGGTCAAGCTCTGTTCGAAAGGGCTAAAAGGGACAGAGATGAAGGACGATATATGCACAGCCTTGGAACAGG